TGGCATTTGTATTTGCATTACCCGCAGCCTCCCGGGTCAGCACGAACCGGAGATTGTGACGCCGCTGCTTCACGGCTCTTAAACTCAGCATCGCTTCAGGGTTAATCAATGCAACCCTGGTTCTCAAAGCCAGGAGGTTTCCTGAGCACATCCCACAGCCACCAAATCCTGCAGGAAAAACAACCGGGCACCTACGGGAGCGCTGCAAGGAATTACAGGGTGGAGGAATGCTGTTGTCCCCATCCACACGCTTCCCTTTTGATGCATAGGAAGTTCTGAGTCCTCTCCATGCCAGAGATGCTCTCAAAGGAGGAGGAATGTTTTACTTCATTGTCAGGGATTTCTACCAGGGCACTCTGTAAATATTGAGGGTTTTCTCAGAGAGGCAACAGCCTTAAATACGAGTTTCAATGGAGCTTCAGCTTCTGTAGAGGAGGCACTCAAACTGCAATCAGTGGGAGGCATTACCGAGTGCGCTTGGGCTGAGAGAGGACACAAAGCACTTTAATTCCTGTTTTCCAGGAGAGGTCATACACAGTACCCAGAAGTTTTGTTTTTAAGAAAGCATCTGTAGGCTACACAAACAGAAAAGACAGACAGAAAATGCAGGCAATCAAGAAGATATTAATGTTTTACTGACCTTACCTGCAACTGCCTCTTACCTCCCACAGTGATAGTTCTCTACACCCAAGAGAAATCCAAGCACTGCCCTTAAGCACCAAACCACAGCACAGAGCTGAGTGTGGTGCCGATCATCACTGCCCCAGCAACAGCAAGAGCCTGCCCCATCCCCTCCTCCCTGAGCAGCCTCTGCAGGACGCTGCAGCCAAAACCCAGAAAATGCCTCGTTTTGCCTTAATGGAAGTGGTTACCTCGGGGTACAGCTGGATCCCTGGGCTGCTGAATGACACTGGGGTTTTTAGGATGGCTGATTCTCTGACCATCACTGCTTTTTAAAGACTGCACCAGTGGTGAAGCTACTTAAAGCTCAAGCTTTAAGAGTAAGTTTTTTCTTTCATACTCTTCCCTTTAAAAAAAAATAATCTCACTTTAAAACACCTGCATTGGTGCAAATCACCATCATTTCTGAGCATTTGGTTGCAATTTCAGTGCAGCCCTGACAATAAAAGCAGAAAAGTGTAAAAAGGGTGGATATTTTCACTAAATGTGCTCCAAATACAAAATCCCAGGAGGAGAAGGTACTGAAAAACACATCCACAGCACCAAGGTTAGCTGCCACTGGGCACCTGGCTCACACATCCCGCTGCTCCCGAGCCCACTGGAGATGGAAAGGAGCAGCCTGGAGTACTTTTGAAAGTAACAGCTCCCCGACCAAGAGAAGGAAGAGTCGGAGAAAGGGAGCAGACAGAAATCCTAGCTAGCAGCAGTTAGTGCTCCCTGCACAGGGCTCTGCAGCCAGGAACGTGCAGCCTTTCCCTGCGATCCAGCAGGGGAATGCGCCTCGTCCAAGGGCACGGGCTGCTCCTGCCCTGCACAGCTGAGGAGTAGTAAATAGTTAATTACATGCACAGATCAGCACATTATGTGCAGCACGGCTCTATGCATTATTCACAGGGGCTTGGGGGAGAAACCGGCACAGGGGAGGGAAGGGAAAGGAGAAATTTGTGCTGCCTCAAGGAGCATTTGATTTTGTGGAAGATCAGCGCTAGGACGAGGGGCTGCGGTTTCCCTTTGGAGCACCTTAAATAAACACACTTTTACACAGCACCAACACCCCTCCGAGCTTTTGCTGCGGGTACACGGGTGACAAGCACGGCACAAATCTCGACCTGTTGCACTGAAATGCCAGGGGCAGCAAAGAAACCGAGGCACGGTGCATCCCATGGAAACAACCACACAACGCCAGCGCTTCCCACCGCACCGCCGGTAACCCCAGAACATCCAACCTCAGCACTCTGAAGGGGCACTTCTGGCTGCCTCCTCTTCCCTGAGGCTCAGCAAAGGGAAGACACACTCCAAAGGCAGTAATCAAACATTTGCAACAAAGGCATGGACAGGAGGCAGAACTCGCCTCGGTCCATCTCACCTAGCCAGCAGGGAATCCCCCACAAAGCAGGCTGCGTCCCACAGCATCACCGCCTCACTGCTCCCGAGGCCAAGCGCCCTGGAATCGTTTCTCCTTTTAATTTCCCCACTGCTGTGTGGCCAGCGAAGCCAGGCTGGAGCCCGGCTGTGCCTCAGGGAGAGCGGAGAAGCCGCGGGGAGGCGGCGGGAGCTGCCCGCCCCCGCCCAGGGGGAATCCCGGGGAGCCCCGGGGAAGCTGTGTCGCGGCGGCCGCACTTACCCAGCACGAAGCAGAGGAAGCGCCGCGGCAGCAGGGCCATGGCCCCGCGGCAGGAGCGGCTCCGCTCCCGGGGCCGGGCGGGCTCCGCGCCCGCGGCGCTGCCAGAGGGGCGGGCCCGGGGCGGTGCGGCCCCGCCCGACTCCGGCCCCGCTCCCCCGGCGGCAGCGCGGGGCAGAGGAGGGAAAGCGCTCCCGTGGGGCAGCGGGATGGAGCCCGGGCTCTCCTTATCGCCCTCTCGCAGCCCAGAGGCGCGGCGAACGGAGCGAACAGTTCCGAAGGAATGCACGGAGCAGGCCGGCTGCCTCCCGCGCCTTCCCTAACCCCGCTTCCACCTCCTCCGAGGGGGTTTCACCCCAGCTAAAAAATCCTGCCTTCCCCCTCTCTAGGGCTGAACCTACACATGGAACGCGATTTTGAGGAGGAATGTTTAGTGGATCCTGCTTTAATTGCTATCGGAGTGTAACATCGCTGCCGAGCTCCTACAGCTCCACCTGCAGCTCGTTCCCGAGCTGTGCTGAGCAGCGGAGCCCGCCCGGGCTCCTCCGGTGCTCCGGATCACGATACGCCCTTGGGCTCAGGGCAGGACTCTGCCTGCAGCGCGGTCACTGCCCCCCAGCCCGCTTCTCTCATGCCTGGAGTCAGCTCTCCCTTCCAAAGATCAATAAAAACGGGAACGTGAAGGAACACAGAGTGTGCTGACTCGAGTCTTTCACATCGTGCACGCTTCTGCTTTCCTAGGAGGAACAGAACAGAGAGCCAGCTCCTCCTGAACTGTTAGCACCTGCCTGATCACAGAGCCGAGCCCGGGGAACACAAACAGCAGCAGCTGCCGGGAATGAGGTGGAAGAGCAAAGCCTGGGAGTGCTCCCATCTTGGCAGACCCAAAGACACCAAAGCTGAGGCCTCACCTGCAGCACGGCCCAAAGCCACAGCTCTGAGGCAGCAGAGGTCTGCAAACAGCACAACATGGGCCCAACTATTTTGAAGAACAAATGTTAACCTTTATTGACAGTAAACAAGGCTGTTCTTTCCAGCAACAATTGCAGCAGGGTCTAGAACAAAGTACAACAAAGAGACTGAGTAACTGAAGGTGAGCTCTGAGCAGAATCACCTTCTCTTAAATGTATTGTGTACTTGTTCCTTAATATAGAAAATGGGGATTCTTTTTCTCCCCATTATTTAGTAATGACTTGGCCATTTCACACCTCCCTCATGAGGAAAATAAAATTATTATAAGTAATCATCTCCCACATAAAACAGCAGGAAAAACATACTGTAATAGGAACAATTAGGACTACAGAGCCCACGCACCACTGGAAAGCCAAACAATCACTCCACAAGGAAAGCACAACACATTTCAAGGCTGTTAAAACCTTACTGACTGAAAACGCTTCCAAACATAAGATTTTAACATTTGGGGGATGAGTTTCTGTCCCTATCTGCAACCCTGTGAAAGTCAGACTGGAGATTAACAGGAAGACTTTTTCCTTTTTGCAGGAAACCTGGCAGTGGCACTGCTAGGAGGTACCCAAAGCAAGGATGGACAGACACATTTTTGGGATTCTGGGCTGTGGTTTCACACCTTCAGCTCGCTGCAGCTTCCTGCAGTGCCACAAGATCGTGAAAAAGGTGTGAGAAAAAGACAGGCACAGTCTGGTTGTGTCAGGTTTCCAGCCCAGAGCTGGCCCCCAGACAGGAACCATTAGTGCTGGGATACAGAAAGGAGCCCCCAGACAGATCCCATCAGTGCTGGGGTGCAGAAAGGAGCCCCCAGACAGATCCCATCAGTGCTGGGGTGCAGAAAGGAGCCCCCAGACAGATCCCATCAGTGCTGGGATGCAGAAAGGAGCCCCCAGACAGATCCCATCAGTGCTGGGATGCAGAAGGGAGCCAGGGCTGGGATTTCTGGATGGATCAGAGGCTACACAAGGCCTGGCCGGTAGGTGTCAGCTGTGCACCGAAGGTGTGTGACAGTGCTCTCCACACAGCTCAGCAGCGAAGCACTCCAGATGTTGGAATCCAAAATACAGGGAGCTCTCAGAACTTTGGGCCTGTAAGCCAAAGCTTAGAATTAAACACAGGATTTGATCTGAGACCTTGGGAAAGGCTTCCAAACTGAGGTGCTAGACGTGAGAATGTGGATTTATAGTTTAAAGCAGAGACATATTAATAAGAGAAAAAGTTAGAGTTTAAAGATGCAGAAAAAATATAAGTAGTTAATTTAGAATGCAATACTCTAGGTTTGTGTGTCATAACATGACTGGCAAAGAAAACTTACACTGTAGCATGTCCATAAGACAAAATATTTTAAAATTGGGTCAAAACCATAAATATCCTTGCTAACAGTGTTTTATTGGTCAATAAAGCCTTAAAAAGTCTTATAACTAAAGGTCTTGTGACCTCCTGAACCATGCAGTAAAGGTGTGAGCCAAACTCACCCTTCCTATCTATGTAGAAGAAAAATAAACCACATCATCTAAGAACTCAAGAGGTCCCATCTCTAACTCATTCCAAATTCCTTCCAGAATCCCCATATTCAGTAATTAACCACGAGTTTTATACAGTGCTTTTACAGCTCCCAGTCCTTACAGAGCACTGCTCCAGTGGATTCACCCTGGCACCCCCTGTATTAACCCAGTCAGGCTGCAGGGTGGGTTATTCCCTCAGGGTGGAATATTCACCTTTCTCAGGGCTCCTCCTACTGAGAGTAGGGTGTGGAACTCCTCAGAATGGCAGAGGCCTTCTCCTCAATAGCACTGATGGCCAGGCCACTCAGCACTCCTTTGTTCATTCTCCTCACCTCCTGCACAGCCCCCACAATTTCAGCTCTGTGGGAAGTGAGGAAATAAAAGGTTAACATCACATTTTGTGCCACACATTTAGTGATTAGTTACAAATCAGGGCTGAAAAGAACCCCCAATATCTGACCTGCTAAACTCTGGATGCTTTTCTTGAAGTCTCCTTACTAACTTGGTAAAGCTGCTCAAGTTCAGTGCATAAGGAGAAACAAAGATACAAGATGACTTCACTGAGGAACAAGTGGATGTTTTCTGCAGGGAATTTTCCTCAGGATCCTGGAATTGCATCAAAATAAGGGAAAAATGAATGGGTTAGGTATCATACAGGTAATACAACACCTCGTTCCTATGAAAAGAAATATAAAATATAATTATATAAAATAACAATAATAAATATACAAATATATTTATATTTTATATTTATATTGTATTTATATTATATATATTTATATGTTATATTTGTATTATATACATAATTATATATAATACTATAAATATAATAAAATAAATCTAAAATATAAATATATATAATATATAGAAATATATATTATATATGTAATTATATATAATACTATAAATATAAAAATAAATATATAATTTTATACATTATTATATATTTTTAATATAAAATACAATTAAATATAATTAAAAATAAACATAATTACAAAATGAATATAATAAATATAATAAATATAGAATTATATACAATACGATAATTATAATGAATTAAATATAAAATATAAAAATATTATATATATAATATAAACAATATACATAATATTATAAATATAATAAAATAAATTTAAAATATAATTAATTATGAAATCCTAGACCCACAGAATGGTTTGGGTTGGAAGGCACCTTAAAGCTCATCTTATTCCTGCTTTATTCTAAAAAAGTAAAATAAGTGGATCTAATTTATTTTAGCTTAGATGCAATTACCATTTCCCAAAGGAGCAGCATGTTTAAAGGGAAATCCCCAAGGACAGCAAATCTGCGTGGTTTATGTGAGCAACACCAGCAATTACTGATTTGCCCTTTACTCTCCAAGGACCAGGCTAAGCCAATACAAAACTCTCTGTTTGACTGTAGAGATTTCTTGGATTTATGCTGGAAAATCCATGAGTTTCCTTCCCATCCATTACCCCAAAATCTTTCCTGTATAAAGCCACATGACATTTACATTAAAAAAACTGCTGTTACATGATGAAAAACCTAGTGCAAATGGGGAAATTCCAAACTGTCCTGGAATTAAGAAAAAAACAGCTGGACTGTCCTAGTTTAATGCAGGGGAAAAAGAATGGTGCTTTCACTCTTCTGCCACAAATTTATTACCAATATATAATGTATTTTCCTAGCCTGACATAATTTTCTATCTATTAAATGTTATGTGACAAGAAGATTTAAAGCTCTTAGTCTGCCACACAAGATGTGTTAGCAGTAATTATTTCCCTTTTGATTATCTCCAAGTACAGAATGTGCCAGCTGTTGAGTAGGTGATTTCAGATCAGGGCACTTGGTAGTAAATGCAGAGTATGAAAGAAGCCTTAAGAGGCATGAAATTCCTACTACAAATCAAGAACAGACCTACCTCAGGCACTGAGGGCTTTGGGTCACCAACAGGAACAGAGGAATGTTCCTTCCCACTCACCACTATCTTCACTTCTAACAATAAATGTAAGAAAGCAGAGAGTTAGTAGCTGTTCTTGGGCTGACATCTCTGCAGATTTTGGACAGCCCAGAGAGAAAACCTTAGAACAAACTAAGGGAAAGAAGAGAATATTCTAGCAGAAAATCAGTGTCCTGAGAAGCACAGCAGTTCAGTTTGTGGAACATCCTTTCCCTGAGTGTTTCCTGAGATTTTAAGAGGAAACACTGCTCTGAATTAACAGTACCAGTGCAAAGGCTGGTACAGAGAAGCCCCAAACTCTCTGCCTTCAGCACCCTGGCACTTCTCACCACACCCAGCACTCAAGTGTCCAAACACAAACCATTTGTATCTGAAAATTCCAGCATGGGAAGGAAGCACAAAAAGAAGAAGGAGAAGAAAAAAGGAAAGATTTCCATCCATGTGATTGGCTGGGCATTTACTAATTTGAGTTCAAGCACTGCAGGTGAAGTTTTCACGGAAAAACATGGATGGACGAAGAACATCCTTGTACTCAGCTGAGTGCAAGGATTCACTGCCAGAGAATGAGAAACACTGGAACCCCAGCTGGCATTTATTCCCAGTTTATTTAAGCCTGGAGAAGGAACAGAGCACTCCAATAATAAACACCATTAATTGCTTTATCAACTTAAAGCACACAACTTTACCTCTTGAGTCAATCGAGTCTTGCTTTCCTTGTTGCTTTTTCATTTCTTTGCACATTACTGAAATATCTGCCACTGACAAGTCTTCCTTAGCATCAAACCAATACTCACTTCCTTCCTCATTTTTTACACAGCCTTGGCAGTTGGGATAAAATTCAAGTGTTAAAGTTAAAATCAAGGTATGCTACATAAATGAGTATCAAATTTCTGTGCTGAAGAGGATTCAGCTACTTCCATCTCTTGGTGCTACATTTCAAAGAGGTGACGTTACTAGTTTGGAATTCTAATTTAAGTAGAAACTTTTTTTAAAGATGTAAGTAATTAATATAGAGCTGTTATTACTTATTAATAAACGTTGATAGCTGATATATAAAAATTCCATCACAGAAAGGGCAGCTGTGTTACCATTACATGTTTTACACAGGGTTTCCTTCCTCCCCTGAGAGCTTAGCTCACAAATGAAGGATTGTTTTAAAAGGAGATCACTCACCACGTTCCAGAGCCTGATCTTTAATCAGTCCTTCCCACCTCTCAGGGGAAGCAGAGTCACCTGGCTGATCACCATCAGTCTGTGAGTTGTCCTACAAACACATCTCAGTTACATCACAGCACTCCCACCTGATTATAAGTTATTTTTCAGGATATCAGCCCATGAAGTGGGTGAATTAAAAAAAATTAAATCTGCTGATCATCCTCAAGAACCCCCAAGTTATTTTATTTTGAAAGGGCAATTAAAATTGTGAACATAAGAGCTGCATTTGCAATCAGAGGCAGAGGATCCCAGGCTGAGAGCCCTGAAGACTCTGATCACATTTGCAGGCACCTAAAAGGAGAAAATACTTCTCAGCATGACCATCTCCAAAACCCAGGAGTGAAGAATTCCCTACCATATTGACAGAAATCCCCTTTTCTTGCTGTTTTGGCTCTTCAAAGTCAGCTTTCCCTTCACCTGAAAGATCACTAAAACACATCCGAGAAGTTCATACAAAATATGGGACAACAATTTTAAGTTCTACAGTAATTCAAATATTTCCAGAAGCTCACAGTAAAATACATCATTAATAAATCTTGGCTTTTTTCATTATATCTTAATGGTTTTCTGTGTGATGTTCAGATGTATTCCTTACAATTTAAAATACCTGTGCAACTTTGACTAATTATTTACAAAACAAAACAACTGCCTTTGCTTTTCTTCATTAACTTCACTCATGCTCAACAGGAAACTTCAAGCAGTCTCTGGCAGTTAACCCAGTTCAGTAAAAACTTACTGCCACATTTGTTTTCATCTCCACTTACAGAGAGTCACTGGATGGGGTCCCTGAACGTGTTCTGTCATGTACCTGCCTGAAATAAGAAGTTATTTTTCTATCATTCTTCATATCTGAATGATAATCTTAGCAAAACAGCTTCAAATTATCTTTTAATGTTATCTGTATGCTTGATATTATCTCTGCTGGCAGCAAAGTCTTTTTGGTTTTTGTGGTGTGGGATTTTTTGGGGAGTTTTTTGTAGCTTAATGCCATTGTAACTGTAGACAAAGATTTTTAGAAGTGAAAGCAGGGAATCTGGAAAATGACCCGTAAATTGATAACTTTTACTATAAAGATAGTAAAGACAGTCCCTGCTTTGCATATTAGAACACCACAGAGGAAAAATGCCCTTAAAATAAAACCATTGTAACCAAAGGGCAATGCTGATGTTTCAGCTAAACAGCCTGAAACAGCAAAATGCATCCTGAAATAAAGAAATTATAGGTTTAACATCTTATAAACTCATTCCTCAGTTAACTTGGTAAGTACAACAACAAATCAAAACTACTTACTCAGAGTAAAGAATCTTTCTGAAAAACTGTCAAAAAAAAAGGAGAAAGATTTAACTACAATTATCTTAATTATAAAACAATTTCTATGAAAAGCATGAAACAGTTAAGAAGTTACCTTGGAGGCAATGTAAAAGGAAGAGAGGGGGGGAAACTTCAGCTCAACTGACAGTGGTGGAAGTTCATTTAAAGGTGTGCCCATGTTTATTTCCTTTCTCAGGGTGCTGTAATTATTGTCCAGTTCATCCAAAGCCAGCAGCAGAGACGAATATAACTCAGCCTTCTTCTCACAGCTATTAAAATATGGGTGAGAAAGCAACAACAATTGAGACATTTCATTGATTTTACAGCTTCTGGAGGTGCCCAAAGATTTTACAGGGTTTAAAGATTCCTCTCTAAGATTATGGTATATACAACATGAATTAACTGAATGAACTTGAGTTTTGTTCCTGGGAAAAAAGCAGGATTTTGGGACTGTGAATACTACAAAAAAATTAAGGCTGGAAATAAAGCTTGGGGGTCCCTCTGCATAACACCACTAATTATAAACACTCCTATAGAATCTACCAGCACCATTTGGCAATTTTTGCCTGCTAAGCAGTCACCCATTTTATTTTAAAGGACATTACAGCACGTGCCTCCCAAGACAGGTGTTCTCCTCCAAAGCCAGCTCATAAACCTTCAAGCAGTGCTGGTAGCACATCTCATAATGGATGGCCAGGAGCTGCAGCTCTGCTTCAATCGCTCTCTGCAGGACGTTCTGACAGCAGCTCGATGCAGAATTCTTCCCAGTTTGCTTGTTGGGATGTGCTGGCCTTTAAAATAATAATCACAATAACAGAATATTTATTTGGGGCTTCAAGATTTTGTTTGTGGTGTTTTATTTTGAAGCAAGGAGCTCACCAGAAGCTATTTCTGCTATGATTTAAGGCAAATCCTGTTTAGCCCACAATAATAACTGTGAGGATTACAGTCAGTTTTATCAGAGAGGTGGGAACTGCACAAGCACATCATAATTTCTATCCAAAAAGTGAAGCCTTAAGAACAAAAAGAAACTTGGCAATGCTGTGGATCTGCAAACACACTTATTTGGTTTCCACAGCCATAGAGTTTAGCAATAGGAACAGGAATAGTTTAGGAATAAACACAGGAATAGTTTAGGTTGGAAAGGATCTCTGCAGATCTGCACCTGCAGAACAAGGCTGCTTTGGTCTTTGTTCAACTTCAGGAAGTGTTCAGCTCACTCTTCTCACCTGTTCAAGCCCCTGCAGCACAAACTGGTGCCCAGCAAGCTTTTAATTCCATCAATTTTGCCAAGTCACAGAAAACATGAAAAAGCCTCTGATCCAGGATCTCAAATTCCAAAACCAAGAACAACTCCTGACCCACCTGTCACTGCCTGTCTTCCAGCCAAGGTGATCTTTGAATTCCTCCTTTTCAAAAAGCAAAAAAGAAGTCAAAACTTACAGATTAACACCCATGGAGACAAAATCAATGCAAGTTGTGTCAAGCTGGCCTGGTGGCCCTTCTTGTTTTGTGTCACTGACCTGCAGGTGTGAGCTGGGAGCTCCCGTGGGCCATTCCGTGTTGGAAGCAGCATCCACGGAGGTCTGACCCAGCCACCCCTCGTGGGCTCTGCTCACCATGGTCACCTCTGTGCTCACTGCCCTGGAGCACAGACACACCGGGGCACTGCTGCCTCTGCTGGCTGGGAATGCGGCCCTGGGATCAGAGCCAGCATCCACAGCCACACTGGGGACACTCCTCAGGGCGCCACCACGCTCTGACCTCCCAGCAGAGGATTTATCTGCAGCTCCCACAGGGTTCTTGCCAGGGAGGATTTCAGGGGCTGGGAGCTGGGTTTCAGCACCCTCTGCAGCGCTGCTGGTGCCACGAGCTGGTTTTTCACAGCCGCTGAAGTAGGAGGACTCTCCCTGTTTGCAGGGCTGGGCCTCCTCGCTGGGAGGCAGGAAAGCAATGTCGGGCTCCACTGCCACGCTCTGGCTGGGTCTGAGGCTCTTTCCAGAATCTTCTTCCCCTGCTGTGATTCGGGGTGGCACGGCCTTCACCTCTGCAACCTCCTCCTGCTCAGAAAACTCACTCCAGTTGCTCTTCTCCTCCTCATAAGCACTGAGATACTCCAGCTGTGAGTCCTCCCCTAAATCTGCACCCAGGCAGGAGGTCTGAGTGAAGCAGCTCCTCCTGCTGCTCTTCTCCACTTCCATGGCACCAACACGAGCTCCTGCTGCTCCTCAGAGGGAATCACACAACTCAAAGTCACTGGCTTGGCTCTTCCTGCCTTAATAAAAAATGAAGAGAAGTTCAAGATGCTCCATAGTGTACAGAAGGACAAAAAAAATTACATTAAATTAACAAAAAATTACATTAAATTAATTTGATAATTAAATTAACCATCCTCTTTTCACCTACTGCATGCAGGGAGGAATTCTATAGCACCTTCCTAAAGAAATCCCAAGAGCTGATTTCTGAACTGGTGGAATCCCTGTGACACCATACAGCACACAAAGGGTTAAAATAAAGGTTGCTTCTATTAAGGAAGAGGTGAAGTTTGAGCTCTGTGCCTCCCAAAAACTAAAAACCCCTTGGGTGTTGGACAAGGGGGAAATCAAAGCATATTTCTCTTCTTGCTTCCCCAGAATTAAGAAACTTAACAGGGACAAAACCCCAAGAAAACCCAAGAATCCTTTCCATCAGTTATAAAGGAACATAGGAAAGTCATTTAGCAATAGAAGGAAGCTGTGCAATTCACCAGACTAAAGCAATACACCTGCTCTGAACTTGCAGCAAACCCAGTTTGGTAACAAACACCAATAAAAAGCAGAGAGAAAGCATGTAGGGATGGAAGATGCTCTTTGTGAAGCTTATTTCTTAGAAATATTGTCAATTCTTCTCTGCTTTCCCTCAGAAGCTTCTAACAAAGAAACGAATACATACAAACATTAGCCATATTTCTCAATTACGTCTGCTTTCTAAACTACTTAAATGACACATCCCAATTCCAGTCACTGTCTCTGACAGCCCTTCCCCAGGGGGTGGGAGGGAATAAGGATTAATATGCAAATGTTCAAATATTCAAGCCTTTCACCATCCCAGACTGCTCCAAGCCCCCTCCAACCTGGTCTTGAACACTTCCACGGTTTAATTATACACTTCTACAGTGATTTTTGCCTCCAAAACGTTGTCCTTTTTTACTACACTAACTACTTTCACCCCCTAACTAAAGCTTGAGCAACTCTGTGGAATTAAAAAGCCAAATGCTACCAAAGCACATCCCAGATGCCTGTACAGAAATCGCATTATTACTACAGAGAAATAACTTTTCCCCCTCACTTTTCCCTTGAGAACAAGAACCGAAACACCTCCACACTACAGATAAGGTACAATAACCCCTCCTTGTCGCTGTTAGTGACACAACCAAACGCTGAACCACAGCCGAGCCCGCCCCGGCCGCAGCGCCGGCTGAGGAGCCTTGAGGGCAGCCCGGTGCTCCCGCACGCCCGGGGGAACCCTCAGGCCGGAGAACGGCGTCTCACCGCAGCTCCAGGGCAGGCTGAGGCGCGGCCCCGCCGCCCGTACGAAGCCCCGGGCCCGCTCCGGTCACACACCACACGAAGCCCCGGGCCCGCTCCGGCCACGGCCCGCACGAAGTCCCCGGTCCGCTCCGGTCACCGCCCGCCCGCAGCCCTCACGGCCCCGCCACACACGCGCAGCCAACGCCCTCCGCCGCGCCCCGAGCTCATTGGCTGCGGCCCGCAGCGCTCCGACGCCTCATTGGCCGGCTCGGAGCCCGCTCTCGCCGTGTGCGCCTCCTCCCTCCTTCCCTCAGAAAATGGGGTCGCCAGGTCCCCTCAGAGGCGGTACCGCCATATTTCCCCAGAATTGGTACCGCTGTATGCCCTCAAAGGCGAGCCGCCGTGTCCCCCCAGAATCGGTACTGCTGTTTCCCCTCAAAGGCGGTACTGTCATATTCCCCTAGTATCGGTACCGTTGTGTTCCCTCAAAGGTGGTGCCGCCATATCCCCTCAGAGACAGTACCGCTGTATCCCCTCAAAGGCGGTACCGTCATACTCCCGCAGAAGGGGTACCGTCGTACTCAGAATCGGTGCTGCCGTGTTCTCTCAGAGCCGGTACTACCATATCCCCCCAGTATCGGTACCGCTGTATCCTCTCAAACGTGGTGCTGCCATATCCCCCCAGAGACAGTACCGCTCTATCCCCTCAAAGGCGCGGCCGCCGTGTTCCCTCAGAGCCGATACAGCCATATTCCCTCAGAAGCAGTACTGCCGTGTCCCCTCACGGCTCTCCCTTCAAAGACCCTTTTGTCCCTTCACTGACCCTTCTCTCCTCCCACGGTCCCTTCTCTCTCCTTATGGTCCTTTATCTCTCCTCCCGGTCCCTTCTCTCCCCTCACGGTCCCTTCTGTCCCCTCACGGACCCTTCTCTCTCCTCACGGTCCCTTCTGTCCCCTCACGGTCTCTCTCCCCACGGTCCCTTCTCTCCCCCCACGGTTCCTTCTGTCCCCTCACGGTGCCTTCTCTCCCCTCACAGTTCTTTCTCTTTCCTTTCACGGTCCCTTCTCTCCCCTCACGGTTTCTACTCTCCCCTCACAGTCTCTGCTCTCCCCTCACGGACCTTTCTCTCCCCCCACGGTTCCTTCTCTCTCCTCACGGTTCCTTCTCTCCCCTCACGGCTCTCCCGCCGCCGAGCACCGACAGACCAAAGCGCGGCCGGCCAGCGGGGAGGGAGAGCAGCAGCTCTTGTACGGCTACTACAGACCCACAGAATTATCCTGTGCTGCAAGGGACCCACGAGGATCATGGAGTGCAACCCCCAGCCCTGCACAGAACTAATCCCACCCTGTGCCTCAGAGCATTGACCAAACTCTGGCAGCTCCTTGAATTTTGCTTTGGGGCTGTGATTATTCACTGGGGAGCCTGTTCAGTGCCCAACCCACCCTTTGGGGGCAGAACTTTTCCTAATATCCAGCTTAAACCTCCTCTGGCACACATTAAAACCTACCTGAAAGTTTCCAGGCTGAAGGAGCACCTTATAGGAGTGCAGACAAACCTACCTGCCACACAGGTCCATGCTACTTGTGCAAGGGGCTCTGCTTCTTCATTTAAACACATGTGTAAAGGTTGTAATGAAGTGTGTAAAACATTACTCACAGTTGCCTAAAATTAACCTGCAGAGACATAGGATGGTTTAGAGCATCTAAAGTGAAGACAAGCATTATACTCCTGCTTAGTCTTTCACGTAAATGACAGCTCTGGCAACACATCAGGGCAAGAGGATATTTAATACTAAAATAACATATTTTTGATGAACCAAACTACCTCCTATTGTGAAGGAGTCTTCATGAAGGATTCTTCAGGGAAAGCTACTGTGTGGGTTACCTCTGTGTTCACCATAAATAAAATTGGAGAATGAATCCAATTAGCAACACCATTCAAATTTCTCCTGATGGGGGACTATCCCTGTCCTCCCCATCCCCAAGTGCACCTGGTCATTAATATGCCAAAATTTGGAGGTGTATGTGCACTCTGCCACTAAAAACACTGATATTTGGAGGTACATCTCACACCAGTGCCCTCAGTCACACAAGCCCTGAATTTGTACATTTCCCAGCCAGTGTTGCTCATGTTTTGTGTGATCCTGCAGCAATGTTTTGAAAAGGAAAATGAGCTGTTACACCTGTATCACCCTGAATTTTCTGTATTTTCCAAGAGAATCTGTACTGGTAACATCAGCATGGACAGACCACTCCATAAAAACTACCCAAACAAGTGACATTTTATTGGCGAGTTCTGCTCATAATGAATTTCCTTTTCCACGCTCACATTTCCTAACAGAGCGATTGGGGGGGAAAAAAACCCAACAAAAACAAAACCAAAAACATTTCGGGTAACATTCCATTTGCAAGCGATAAAAATCATGTAACATTTAAAAATAAAACAGAGGATAAGAAATTGAAACAGAAGTTGTAGGAAAACCCATCCTGGTTCCCCCAGGAGCTGTTCCTCGCCCGGCTGCCGCCACCTCAGCCCCGCTCTCAGGGTACCGAGGTGCTCTCGTTTGGTGCTCAAATTTTAGGACTGGGACATGTGCTATTATCACCATTCAAAGCCCTGTTGTTGTTGTACATTCTTCACAGAAAAACATAGAACAGTTTGCAGTAAACCAACCAGTTCTTTTTCTTCCCTTATTCTAACGCTAAGTCATACTGAAAGTTAGGGGAGAGGGAGGGGGGAAATGTGGCTTCAACATTCACCTACTTTATCACACACAAAGGTTTCTACTAAGAGCATATCCAGGGTGAAATACACATCTGATTTCCGTCATAAGGTTGATGCTTATGGGGTGTGAGATGAAATCTACTTCAAAATGATAAACACATCCCTTTTTGATGAACAAAGTGTTATTTTTTTGCCTTTTGGACCAACGCTTGGTTGCTGGGTTGTTTCTCCTGAGCCCGGCCAGGAGAGGCAGCTTGCACTGCTGCCACAAATGAAGTGATGACTGGTGGCAATCACACACCTTACCACTGGTAAGATGTCATATTTAGCATCTTTGTTTGCATTCTGAAAATCCCTTTGCTTGTTTTTTAGGCCCCCGAGGCTTTGTACACCAGAAATTACACAAGTCATGCACAGAAAATTGTAAATTGGTATCCACAGCCATTTTGAGGTATTCCACAAGAAACTTGGCTCTGCACCTGAATGTTCCTCTCAAAAACAATAAAAAAAACCCAAAACCCAAAGCCCTAACTGGAGTGGAAATTTAATTTAAAAATATTCCTTGCAACCCACGTTTCACCACATTTCATCAACAACTGAATTCCCCAGGGGCACAAAAAAAAAAAAGCCTTCATCCTTTTCCTGGAAGAATAATTTCAGTACTTCATTCCTAATTTTTTCTTGTGCACTTGGAAGAGATGAAGACAAGGGTGTTGTTTCCTAGCCAAACCAGAGAAACACATTCAGACAGCGGTTTTGGTTTACTGAATTCGTGAAGGTGCTCGAGGAAGATACCAGAGATCCCCTTGTGTTGGAAACAGCAGCGGTTCCTGCTCTAACCTCCCGTCTGCGAGGAGGAGGCTGGGGAAAGACCTGGATTGCAGGGTCTGAAGACCGAGTTAGGAAGAAATGTGATCTCCTGGGCGTGGATTTGGCTTGGTAGAAGCTCTTGAGGCAGCCACAAGGGG